ACCATTGCACTTCGCAATGCATACCGTGAACCTTTCACGGCATGGACACAGGGTGAGCTGGATGAGATGGTGCGACGGAAGAAAGACAAGGATTCCAGGCCCACCTATAAGACCATAGCTCGGTTTCTTCAGAAGCCGATTGAGGAAGTCAAGCAGGCATGGAAGGTCTATCAACAACTTGAGGCTCGCGGCTAGGAACGCGGTCGTCAAATGCAGCAGCGACCATCGGAGGACTAAATGGTAGGCCGTGGCGGCGTGTTCGGCTCTTGTTGTTGATCACATGCTACTTGCTTGCTTGCACGTGACTTACTCTTGCTTGCCGTTTTGGGAGATGCCGTTACCATGAAGTGAAGTCATGACTGAGTTGCTCAAATCATGTCGGAACAAGTTGTACAGACGTACATTACCTGGACCCATGGAGCACAGCCGACGTGGTTACAATTTCATGGACCCGGGGCTTTACTCGACAGACCCATTCGGCAGACTACGTCGCCTCCGCCCCCGCCAAATTGCTTCTTCCACCTCCTCCTCCACCACCACCACCACCACCGGTGATTCTACACCCACAGTTTATGCCCTCGGTACGCAGCCCCTCGATCTCAGCCCCTCGCGGACAATCCTGCCCTACCTCTTCGAAATCGCAGCGCACACGCCGCTCGATCTACAGCACTGACCATTCCCGTGATGAGGAACCACGCAGTCCAGGGCGCTCGTCCAAACGATCTCGGACAGCATCCGCTTCAGCGCCGCGGCGATCTCGACGGCCCTTTACAGTGTTCCCCTCCAAACGTGCTGGCCGTCCATCGCAGTCCCCATCGGCAACTTGCAAACACTACTGTCATGCCATCCTGCGCCATGGGCGGAAATGTCTTTCCCCTTGTGCTCGCCGACGACCAGGACACTATCATTGCAGGTGTGCGCGACATCAACGACAGTGAAACCTAGGAGTCGGACATTCCAGACCTAGTTGCTGTGTTTCACCTTGAGTTTGAAAAGTTGCCTCACTCTCCAGCGGATGTGCGCGGTTGGCAATGCATGTGTGTCTTTGCCGCAGACTTTCGACTAGTTTTAGCTCGGCGAGCCTGTATTGCCGCTATGAACCCCCAGTATTTCGAGTACCAGATCGATAGAGGAGTGGAATGGATTCGAATTTACTCTCCGGGCATTTGGAGACCCGTTCCCGATGATGCTCCAGTTCCTGACCCACTCCACGCTTCCACGTATCGGGAGTGGCGCAGATCATATCACTTCCAAGTGTACTGGTCTGAAGACAGCACCGGAGGCACCACAACGGATCCCATAGTCACGCCCAGTTCCTATGTGTCTTACCACGTGTGGGAGTACCGAGACTGGCAAACACGAGGGTATCAACGACTTGGAGCTCCTGTACAATCCATCGGATTCGCGATGCTCGTGAATGCAGACGTCGATTCCTCGGTGGGCTCATCGGTACCGGATGGGGCGTGGCGGGAACCGTCGCCGCCACCATTCCATGATCCTTGGAATGATTCGGAGTGACACTTGAGTAGCATGTCGGATAAAGATGCGGTTGTGCTTGCTTTGTATGTGAGTCCACGTTGGGTTGTCTTGCTTGGTGGTGTACATTCCGTCTCTATTTGTTCGCCGCTTTCCTTCATAACTTTGAGCGGCTTGCCGGGTTGAAATGTTCAATAGTACAGTGCATGGTGCAGCACGATGGGTCCTACCTCGCTATTTTGACTACGACATCGTCAATGGGCCAGCAAATACGAGTGTGGAATGGATTCGGATCTATGTACCGGGTCAGTGGCATCCAGTCGCCGCGAACACCCTGGGACCGGCCCCGGAGGACTCAACCACCTATCGGGAATGGCGCAAGGTCCACCACTTCGAAGTGTATTGGCCTAGGGAAAGTACGGGCGGCACCACCACAGGCACTGTTTCGCAACCGGTATCCTATGCAACCTTCTATACTTGGTATTACAGGGACTGGGTCACCAGGGGATACCAACGTCTGGGTCGTCCACGACCCAGCATCGCGAGGCCAGTTTTCGCTTCGGGTGCACCGGACCTCATGTATGCTGGATTGACCTCCTCCTCGGCATCATCCGATTCACATGATGGCTGATGCCCGTCCTCGCCTTCCTGGGGAGTCTGTTCAGTTCAATTCGATTCGGGAGATTGACTTCGATGCTGGAGCCGCGCAGTGCTGCAAAAGTGGTCTTTTGCATTGTGATAGTTGTTTCGCTTTCACTCATTGTTGTCTGCAGCCGTACACCTATCAATTTGTCTTTCCGTGGTTTCGTTGTCATGGCGTGGCTGGAATGGTGTCCGGATCCTCAACAACCAGATGCCCAGTGGGTCAAGATCTTTCATCCGGGACCATGGACGCCACATGAAGAACATGATGCTCCACCTCCTCCGCATACTTTTAGAGAATGGAGGGAGTACTATGCTCCCAACCAGGACTCAGTCGGTGGGCAGGTCCAAGTCACCACGTGGTACAAACGAGACTGGGCCACAGAGGGCTATCGGAGAGTCGCTGCCCCTCACGTTGGTCATGAATTTGATTCCATGTATCTCCCTGATCATCACAGCGTGGCCACGCAGTCTGCGGCATTGAGTATGTCACCGGAGCTGTTAGACGCGATTCTCAGGTCCTCGGATGCGGCTGATTTCTCTACCGAAGAACTGACTCGTCTCCAGGAGGGGATTTCTCAACAACTGACAGCTCGCGCACGTCAAGCTTCCCAACCTCATCAACCAGTACGTGCATCGCGTGGAAACACACCATCGGAGACGATTGGGGTCTCCGAGCCCTACCGGCCCGTGAATCCTTCCGACAGCGGCAGGGACAAGGCGAGTCCCATCTTCGAGCTGACTGAGGACTAGACTCGCATGAGTGACGCAGCGTACAAAATAAGGGTGGTCTCTACACTTGCATGATCTTGCTTGGTTGTTGTTTGAACATGGTTGTGCATGGTGCCTGTTCCACTACTAGCTGGATCGGAGCCCGCGACAATCCTTGCCTCTCACTTCGACATGGACATCGATGATTCGAAGCAGCACCCATGGCTCGAATATTCGGTCTGGCAGGAACAGGAGTGGGTGCGGATATACACTCCCGGACAGCCTCAACGATGGCACCGCGGTGACGCCGTACCTGATCTACCTGAGAATTCTTTTCGGGAATGGCAGCGGGTGACTGATCCCAATGAGCCGGTCCAGGCATGGGACATCCGTGACTGGCAACATCAAGGGTACCAGCGCATTCTGTCTCGGATTGAGTCCTTCGCAACTCATTATCCGCATGATCAATCTCTTGGTCAAGTTCAGGACTCCGATGCCGTTCCAGTTGAGGAGACGTTCACCTACGCCACTCCTTTTTCTCATGGTGATCGCCAGGCTGCTTCGCAAATCGCTTCAGTCCTCTATGGCGACACTCGCAACGCTCAACGTGGTGATCTCTCGTTCCCGTCTTCTGAGCGGTTTAGGGCTGTGTCTCGCTCCCCTCGCCGTGGTGGATATTTTGGTCAACGATAGAGATTCGAGTTGGAGCATGTGATCTTCCTGGAGAAAAGAGAAACCTCGCCCCTCGTAGAGGGGCGTGTGTGTGCGGAGTGGCAGAAAACCCTGCCACCAAAACCTTTTTCTGTTGCAGCAGGGGGCAACGGACACTCTGGGTCGCGTTGCCCAACGAAGACCGTCCAGAGTTGTCGTGAAGCAACACGGGACGCCGTGCTGTGTACCTGCAACATTTGCGTGATTCTGAAAGTCTATTTGGCCCCTTGGTTGCGGCGCTGTTTGTGCTTCTTGTTCTTTCGGGTAACGTTTTCGCCTCTAGAGGGAAGCCGAGTGCTTCGCGAGTCGAAACTCATCCTACTCGAGACTTGTCAGTTGTACTCGAGACTCATCAGTTGTACTCGAAAGATTAGCACTCTCCATCTGGAGTTCAAGTGTGTGTGTTTGTGTGTTTGTGTTTCTTTGGGGGTAATTACCCTTTCCAGGATTTGTGAATACCCTTCAGTCATAGCTCTGAACGCTGGGCATGGCTGGCAACATCGGAAAAGCGCAAAAGGGGATTGTTAATGCCCAAATCACGAGCACACGCAAAAATTGAGGTAAGACATGCATCTACAATTCACGACATGAAACTGCCGATGACAGTGCGAATCTCCGACTGCAAAAAGAGCTGCCCTTATCAATCCACATTTACTCAGATGCCCAGTGGCCAATGGAAAAAAGGGCACCCTTTTTGGGTTGGTTCACTTTAAAGGGACACCCTTCCCCAAAAAAAGGAAAAAGGGCACCACTGGGCAACTGGGCTTAGAAAGCTGCGCATCGGGGCCTGATCTGAAGCTTCCTAGAGGATTCAATGGAACGCCGAGCAACTTCATTTGCAGCCTCGCCATGTTTTCACGAGGAAGTTCTTAACCACGAACTCAAAGCTGCTGTCTTCTCCCTTACCCGCAGGATTTATACAAATTGGGAGTATGATATTCGGAATTCCCAGAATGCCAGACAGTGAAATCAACGTAGCAGCCAAAGGCATGTCACGAAAGTGTGTTTAAACGCTGCAGCATTGAAATGTATGCTCTTCTTTCCCGCTGCCAATGCAGCATTTGAGCACATGCTTTCCCCACATCATTGTGTCTTTTCTTGGAATTAGACCCCCCTTCTTGTGGATTTCAAAGGAGACCAATAAGAAACACTCCATTTTGGGGTGGCCCTTAAGAAACAAAACACATTTTACGGCTTTTCTTGGAGTTATACCCCGTTTTTGTGGATTTAAAAGCAATCCAACAAGAAACGCTCCATTTTAGGGTGCCCCCCAAGAAAAAAAACAAACAAATACCCCCCCTTTTTACCGATTTGAAAGGAAACCAACAAGAAACCACTCCATTTTGGGGTGCCCCCCAAGGAAAAAAAACATCTTTATACCCCCTTTTTACCGGTTTAAACTAAATGGAAACCAACAAGAAAACACTCCAAAATGGGGTCCCATGCTTCGGCTCAGCAGCTCTTACGGCCAGACTTCGCCATGGTGCTCCTCGGCAGACGGACGGAGTTCGAGGGACTCCGAACCGAACCCCTTTTGGCTTGCTGGTCGAGGGAAATCAAACGGGGCATGGCTCGGAAACCCCAAAAAAAAGCGGGAAAAGATGAAGAGCACCACTGGAGGTCTAGAATCATAGGCTATGATCACTCTTGGCAAAATAGATGGGTCGCCCTGGCCAATGCTTTATAAAACCCATCTAATCCGGTGGAACCCATCGATTTCTGACCAACCTCACCTAAGGACACCTATGCCTGGCAAACATATCGACCTCAAGGCCGCCGAAGACCAAAACGGCGGCCGGGTGGCTTCCGTTGAGCTGGCTTGCTGGCGAGACCGGGCCCTGCAAAGAAACAACTGGTGGTCCACTGCGGGAAATCCATTTCAAACAAAGAGCTAAAGTCCGAAGATGAAATAGCCACAAAGGGTGGTGTCTTCTCCTTCGAAGCATGGCGTGTTGGACCTCTTGGGCTTATTCAACCCGCTAATCTCAGCGCAAGTGTAGGCTCTGCACTCAATCAGAAGTGAACTGCTCTTTCTCCTGATGGCTGTGGGTCAAAACCAATGGTACCATTTTGGGGTAGGTGCGTTGAGTCTATTTTAGTGGGGATTGGGATGTTCACTGGGAGTATGGCCATGTGTCGCTTTCCACAAGCATGATTAAGCTGCGCCTATACCTGCCAACACCCCAGACCCAAGCACACACAAGCAAGTCCACTTGGACGAATCAAGGCTCAGCTGACAATTTGGCAATTTTGTTGATTTGCACGGCCTTTAGTCAGCTAGCTACTATCGCGACGACTTATTCACTCAGCCTTTGAGAGGTGCTTTGGATTCGCTAGCACCTATGGGTCTGAAAGCCAGCAACATCTCATTGAAATATATATATATATATATATATATATATATGTACATGCCAAACCTAAAACTAGGCGTGCGAAACCACAACTTGCAAACTACATCAACTCACTCGCAAGGGCCTGGCCTTTACATGCATGACCACTGGGGAGAACCGCTCAACAGAATTGATATGTCCCACACGAGAAATGTTACCCATGGTCATGGCCGGGGGCCTTGAACGGACTACTGATCAAGCCCCATATTGTAGTTTTAAGAGATTTCTGCACCACGCCCCAGGCATCCACATGCTACCATGGTGACATTGGCTGTGGTTGTCAAAACCGTTTTGGTATCCCATTTTGGGGTAGGTGAATTCACCACCCATGTCAGAACCTATTTTAGTGTTCAGTGACCCTGGAAAAAAAGGATTGGGAACCCTTTTTTGGGCTTGGACCATTTTAGTTGGGCAGCCACCAAAAAAAAAAGAAATGGAAAAAGAAACAGGGGGCCACAAAACAACTGAGGTGGTTGGATTGAAAACCGTTCTGATATCCCATTTTGGTTGGCAGGTGAATTCACCCAGGTTAGAACCTATGTTCGTGGTTGGATTGGGTCCCGTTCCCTGGGGGCGAAAAAAAAAACGCCGCTCACCTGAGCATTGAGGGCTGGCTGTCTTGGGCCGCGGGGCACGATGACGTCAGCCCGGTTGAGGCCTGGAGACAACTGAACATTCGGACTTAAGGGGTGGTGGAGAAATACGGGCATACATGTGTGTATATGTACAAAAACAAATATGTGTATATATATATATATATGGTCAGATATATATATATATATATATATATGTAATGAACTGTATATGTACATACAATATGTATATATGTATAATGAACTGTATATGTACATAATATATATATATATAATGAACTTTGTTTGGGGAACCCTTTGGTGGACATTATTCACATGGGGATGTATGTCCACCAACCACTTTCGAGGTGCTTCCCCATTACAATTCATAGCCACTTGCGTCCAGTGGTTTCTGGGGGAAATGCAATTTGTCTTTTAGGTGATTTATAAGCCGAATTGCTCCTAATTCATGTTGGTTGCTGATTTTTAAGCAGACCCGGGTTGCACAATGCCCTGAACGGGCTTCTGAACTCCCAACACATCAATCACATTGTTTGAGTTGGGAGAAATAGTTTAGGTGGAAGACTTGATCACTCTAAGATTTTAAGCATGCAGGATATTTTTTATTTGCGTTTTTGTTTCCTGGAAAAATGAGAAAATATGATAAATTCCCTTTAAAACCAACAGCGGAAAATATAAATATATTTGTTTAAAGCAAAACGAGTGTTCGATCCGCGCGTGAGAGTAGTGGACGAAGTGTGCAGTTCCGCAACGCGCCTCAAGGAACACTGGATCGGGGCAGCGCTCAACAGACTCCGTGCTCCGAAGCATACCACAAGGAAGAAAAGAAGCCTCTGGTCGAAACTGAAGAGGATTCTGGCAAGATGCCGGGCATGACAATTTGAGTCATAATCAAAACCTGGTGTTAACATGGTCCACCCAGAACCAGGTAAAGAATTAAAATGGCGGCTGCACCCATTTATGGTTGGGACTACTCCAAACCGTCATCTACCCGTGTTTTGATTGTGGCTCAACTGAGCTATGTGCTACTGTGGATGGACAAATCCAGCACCACGCTAGGAAACCTAGGGAAACCATTGCGTGTGGGTATTTACAGGGACAGTTTGTCATTCCCGGGTTTCTGACCAGTGGTGAGATATGGCTTCCCAGGCCCACACACCTAGGCTGGAGATAGGACCCCAGCAAAAATGTATTTTTTTGCCTAGGCTGGAGTTAGGACCAGCAAAAAAATATTTTGTTTGCCTGGCTGGTGGAAAACAAGGGGACCCCAAAAAAACAAAAAACGAAAGAAACAAAAACAAGGGGAGCGAATTCTGGGGAAGAAGCCACAGTCTCGCGCGTCTTTCGCGCAGTGAACTTGGCAAGGGGCGAGCATAGCCCTGCATGTCGAGGAAGAGCTCGCTGTAGGCGCGGTTCAACTGTGCCACCAGCAGATTCCTGAGGCGATGAGCCTTTTCAGAGCTGGGACAGCCAAAGTGGTTGGTGGACAAGAATCCATACATGATGTCCGCCACAAAGTCCTCCACCATAAAAAAAGAGGTCGTCTCAAATAAGAGATTCCAATGAAAATGATTGCTACTCACTACGTGCTGTTGACCCCAGATTAATAAACCCGTCCCACTGATGGGGGTGTCACCCACAAAAGTGAAGGATTCCCACTAAAAGCCGGCACCCCCTGCTAATCAACCAGGTGTGTATTCATTTGGGGTCGACATTACATCATACTGTACCTGCGCCATTATCGCCACCTAGGTCCTCCAGTAGAGAGGCACCCTTTTCTCTGTAGTCTATGTTAGTAGGGGAACCCTCCCCCAAAAAAAGGGGTGGGAAAGGGCACCTAGCTGGGGGACCTCGCCACATTCTCGCGAAATCTGTCTGCGAAATTTGGGAGACGTCCTCCTGACGGGGAGACCCTGTTCTCAGATGCCGGAGTACCAGTCATCTTTCTTCAGCGACCTCTGTGCTACTTCGGTGCGTGTACTGTGCTTTTTGAAAAGGGCACCCTTTTTGCAAAGGAAAGGACCATTCTATTCGCCCAGCGCGCCGGGGGGGGGGGGGGAAAAACGACAAAACACCGATGACTCCGACGCGTCCCTTCGGCGTCCTTGGACACCGTTCGCAACAGGCGAGTTGGTTGCCCGGGGCAATCATCTTCGACCCCATACTCTCCCTGAGTGGATGGCCCAAAAAACGTCCAAACTGTATATCTACCACTCAAAAAGTGAATGGTCTTCCCAAAAAGTTTAAAGTTCATGAACTCAGGAAGTCAGTACTAATCAACCCCTGTTTATCAATAGGGGGATAGGGCCCCCTCCAAAAGTGGTCTGGATTCCACACTAACTTCACTAAGCTCAAGTATTCATAAGCTGGGGGTTGATTGACAGGGGGTCAACATTACCTGAAAGCCCCTCGGTGGACATCAGTTATATGAGGTTTTTTCCCACTGAAAATCCTTGTATCTTCAATGCATCCTTGCAACGATCATCAACATGCCACGAAGATTTCCCGTACGCATTATTCCTGGACACAAACAGCATCTGCACAAATAGCTTACCATATGCAATGGACCTTTCGGGCACTCTGCAAGAACCAGGGGTTCAAATCCCCAGACCACCAATTAGGGGCAACCTACTTGAAGCGACATGTTTCAGATGCAAATGGAAGCCACCTAGCTGAGCGCTGATGATAGATTGGTACCTCGCAAACCCTGGCACAAGACAAGCTACGCAGTCAAAAAAAATCGTCGTCTGAAGCTCCATCACAGTGTTTTCCGCAAATCCCTGAGTGGCTTGAAGGGTCCGAAAGGCCCAAATCTTCTTACCGAGCCGTAAAATCAAAAAAAACTTAGAAACGCTATGCTGCTCCCCGATGCCCTGCTAAAAGTCTCACTTTTAGTATAGCTTAGTTTTTTTTTTTTTTTTGAAAGTAGAACCTGCCGCGCGGCGCCAACGAAGAAGCTAAACACCCAAGGAACCGGATGGAACTCGCAACCAAGACACATGGCGTGGCTCAAACAAATGTAACATGGAAGCAACCACTAAAAACTAAAACCTGCGTAAGCCCAGCTCTTTGGGAAAAAACCACAGATCCACATGAAAAGTCGATCTTCCCTCGAAACAAATGGCCATGGGGCAAAATCCAAATCGTACCCCCAGTGAACATCAACCAATCCCCACGATAGACTAAAATGGGTGGTGCACCTACCCCAAAATGGGATCCCATTGGCCTTGACCCACAGCAAAATATCATGACAGGGCGCAGCAGAAAGGCGCCCACCAACACCAGGAAGCTGCAAACCACCAGCATGACCCAAATGCTCTCCTGCGTAATTTCAAGCTCCGCCCAAAAGTCTTGGAAAGACTGGACATGCAAGGCTAACCTTTGAGAAAACAGGACAAAACATGGGTATGTCTCTTCTTCTTCTTTTTTTACGGGGACGCACGCACACAAAATGGTGGTTATCCTTTTGGTCTCCCTTTAACACCTACACAAACAGACACCCCAAGAAATGCTTCCGTGATTGGGGGGTCATAGTTTCGTGGTTGAACCCCAAATGGCCAGCAAAAAGCCTTTCGTGGTTAGGAGTTAGGAGTGGTACGCTTGGGTTAGGAGACTCAGAGGGAATGTGCTGGAAACACCTTTGCGACCTTGACAAAAACTACCCTTCCTCCCACGTTGCCATGGCACCTGACAGTCCCTGCAAGAAAATGATCTTCCAGGTACGCTACCACAAATGGTGAGGAGGGGTAGACCGAGAGGGGAAGAAACAAAGGTCAGATTTGGTCAATTCGCTTTGGGCAAGTGAGTAAAGCAGGCCTCGCGAGCTTACCATCGAAGTCACACCCTTGGTTGAAGGGAAGCCTCAGTTTCTGACAACAAGAGCCAGACAAAGAACCAACATAATGACCCCTAACAGGGATCCTCAAAGGACATAAGGCCATTGGCAAAAGCAAGAAAGCCATGCAACGGACGCATGTGCTCCAAGCCGCGCTTTCTCCACAAAACCTGCTTGTTGAACGGAGTCATGTCGTGTTGTGGCCATGTCGTCTCTTGACCGTGAGCGATCCTGATTCTGGGCTTCCACTGCGCTTGACCATGCCGGATCTTGCACTAGCTCCAGAAGATGAACACGCAAGGTCTGCTTGCCTGCTTGTTCGGCGTCGCTTTTCAGCCTGAACTAGATTCGTTGCCTCAGGAATGGACTGGCTGCATTGCTTCAAAGGTGCAGCCGCCGCCATCACGATCATCATCATCGTCATCCTCATCCTGATCCTCCTCCACCTCCTGATCCTCCTCCTCCTCCTCCTCCTCTCCTCATCATCATCATCATCATCATCATCAGCACCATCATCAGCACCATCATCAGCGCCATCACCATCACCATCAACATCCAAAAAAAAAGCCTCCGTTGCACCGGACGACTTAGCCGGCTGCTTCCGAACCGCCAAGACCGCAACGCCCCATGGCCCGCCTCGATGTCGTAGAACTTCTCCGCCGGAAAGATGCCCAAGCAGATGGACAGCAGGGACATCCCCGCCAGGCCGATCCCTGACTGCGCATCCGAGGATCCCGCGGATCCGGAAAGGTCTGTTTTTTCCTTTTTTCTCGGTAAGGGAAAGTGGTGGAGCACCAAAAGAGCAAAATTGATAAACAGGTAAGTCAAGTCTGTGGTAGGAAAGCAAATCGCACCCTTAACAACAAGGAGCATGTGGAAACCTTACACTTCTCCCATGCGAAATGATATTCGGTAAACACGAACGCGCTTGTTCATACAATGTACACCGGGGTAAACCACCAACCCACCGATGAGGGGGAAGACTTGTCGTTCCCAGGCTTAAACCATTTACCATGATAAATTGCACGGGTGTCACAAATTTTCTATAGCAACAATGTCCGACCTGCTACACTAACATACATATACGGACTCCTCTTTTTACCTTCAACCTTTTCTTTTCCATTCTTCTGCCTTCTTCCCCGCATTTTCGGCGCAGCTCAGCGGCTCGAAGCCCGATCCGGCTCACCCGAGCACACCTGACCACCGCGCGCCCGCCTGCGAAGTCCGGGATCCCGTGCTTCAGGGTGCTGATGGAGGTGGCAAAGGCGAAGATCAGGAAGCACAGGGCCAGCCTCAGTGACTCAGACTGGCCGTGCCGGGCCGTTGGGTTGATCGAACTTTTGGGATCTAAAAAAAATCGGCCACAGCCAGATAGCCAAGTTGCGATCGCTTTTGGTCAGTCAGAATTTCCGATCGGTTTTTGGGGTAAAGCGCATGGGAAACAAAAACGATCGCCACTGGCGATCCAGGCAGTGCCAATAGCCAGGGAAACCCTCTTTAGTGGCAAAAATCCGGGCTGGCATGGACTTGGACTTGCCAATGCACAATTTGATGTTGCCAATTCTAATCTAGCATTGCCAGGAATTGCTCTCATATTCCCAGCACCGTATCTAATACTGCCAAGACTTACTCTAGATACCCAAATGTCAAATAGACCAGCCTTCAAAAGTACCTGAGGCTTTGATCTTGGACATTGACACCCACCTCAAGAGAGCTTGACATTAAATAAAGCGACCCTCGGAACAGTCAGATTAAAGAGGATCAGGGGCTCTTGTGGCGTGACTGTTTGGCCTTGCTTTCTTTTGTTGAGCTATAGGGGATTCATATATACATGAGGGCTCTCAAAGCGGCAAATGCCCTTCTTTGGGCAGGAATTTATACAAACATCGATGGTTTGTGGACCATGTCAACAGGAATTTCTAGATCTAAGATCTTGCACTGGGCGGGGCTACACTCTCGTCCTATGCCCATGGCTCAACCCGAGTGTAAAGTCCCAAAACCATCTGACTCCATCTGGGTGCCGCTCCTGCATTACCAGCTAGACTGAAACCCAGGAATCGGTTTTCCTTTTGGGGGCCCTTTTTGGTCGAAGGCACAGCAACGGGAAACCAGCCATGCTTGGGGATCCCCTAAACGACAAACCCATATTATCAGCATTTGTGCCCGTGTTTTCATCTGTCCATTCCCAAACATTGGACCTAAGGTTGCAAGGACCAAACCAAAGCAAACCAGAAGTCCATGGCCCAAAACCAACCCCAAGCTTCCCACAGCCATGGGCCAAAAGCAACTCGACGTTGTGTTCACCACCACAATGGTCGAAACCCGAAAAAAAAAGTTTCGAGTCCAACTCAGAGAGCTCACCGGACCGAGAGCCCAGTGAGCTCAGTGACTCAAACTGATCCATGTGCCGCATTGGAACGTGGGCGAAGGCTCGGTGCACTTGCAAAAGGAAAAGCAAGAACAAGGGGTAGCCCAAGAAATCTGCGCACCATGCTTCAAGAGTCGCCGCCTGCCCCCACCATGTGGCATTCTTTCCCCTATCCGTCCGCCTCACAAAGGCATCACTTGGATCGAAATCGCTTCTCTCCAAATGTTGGCACAGCCAAGGGTAAAGTTCCCTTTGGTGCCCGTTTGAAAGGTGGACATGGACACCCTTGAAGGGGTTTCCTTCAAAAGGCCTACCCGGGCTTGTGTTTCTTTGAAGGTACCCTCTTTGGGTTTTCCTCTAAGGGAAACCAAAGGGGAAACGCACACCTTAAGGCCCCCCACCCAATTTTGCTCGGAGAGACAAGAAGAGCCCAAGCTCCGCCATGACCCGCAGACACACCAGCACAAAGGCAGAGATCCTCATCGATAGGATGGACAGGTCCGTGATCAGGACCCAGTACAGGAAGGTGTTGAGGCCTGAAAATTTTTGGGTTGGGAAGCCTGAAGAAACTGCAGGGTTTCCATTGCATCTCTACTCTTGGTATGGGCTGGCGAAAAACTGACGGTTTTTTGCAGACACCCAGTAAAAATGGACTGGACCAAAAAACTAAAAACAAAAAAAACATGCCAAGAACAGTGAAGAGCTTGTATTCTCAACAGCCATCCCTGAAAGTAAAAAATCCTCCAAAGATACGAATCCATGTAGCCGCAGCCCAAAGCAGCCCTTTCGGAAAATTCCACAAGGCTGTGGCTCAAAAAAGTGGAAAATGGCGACCCAGGTAAATGGAACCAAAGACCAAAACCCGTGTAACCCACGCTCTTTAATTTGAGCCACACCCACAAGACTCCCGGGCGACAGAACACCCGCAAAAAACTGCACGGTGGAATTTGTTTTTCGCCAGGCCACCGATTGGTTTTTGTCTGCACGTACTGCGATTAGCAGAACTCTACGGGGGGAACCATGTATCTCTCCATGTATCTCCAGTTCAGTTCAGATCTGGATCAAAAAGCTGCGCAAGTGTGTGTGTGTGTGTGTGTGTGTGTGTGTGTGTGTGTGTGTGTGTGTGTGTGTGTGTGTGTGTGTGTGTGTGTGTGCAAGTTGTTCTCGTATATCAAGCCAACATCAAAAGCTTGTGTATATGTAAAATAATATAATGTAGACGTACATGTACATTATAAACAGATCGTGCATAGCTGGAGTAATTTCCGTGTGTATCTATACAGCTTGCTAGCCTTCGAGATTTTTCTTT